ATTTTTTAAATAAATAAATAAATAAATTATTATTATTATGAGCAATTCAGAGCTCTTTGACTTCCAGCCACATGCATATATTACTTTGATTTTTAAAGCCATTGAGTACCTGCCATGTGGCACACATTGTATTAAATACCAGGTATTCAGAGGTGATACTAATCTTATAGCAGAAGCATCTACAGAAACAAATGATGCCGATTTAGGAGCCCTTCCCAGCAATGTGTTTGTGTAAATTGGAAGAGAGGAAGCAGAGCAGGGAATCACAGTTCACAGAGTATTTGGCCAACCGATTAAAACTGTTTGTATAGAACTGCCACAGAGGTGAATTAGGACAAGCCTTTAGGACTTGGGGGCTTGGAGACTTGACATGGTTCCTTTAGATTGATAATATTCTAGGCAGGCAGAGTTACTGACAGTTTGGAGCTATAAGGGTCCTTAGGGAGACTCCATCCAACCCTTTCATTTTACAAACAAAGGAGGCTTGGTCATGGCACAGCTAGTCCTTCTGATTCAATCCTTCTGATCAAGTTTAGTAATAGATAAAAGGAGCTCCACATTAAGACACCCTTCGAAGCACAAAAATCAACATCGTTCCCATATCTGCTAAGGGCTCTGCACTGTACTGGCCACTTCATGCATGTTATTTAACTTCATCTCCACAACAGCCACATGAGGTAGGCTATACCGATATTAAATGTAAGCAAACTGAGGTTTAAAGATTTTAAATAATTTGTCTGAAGTTTAGAATTAGACCCAGGGCCTGGATATTAAAGAGTCTGTCTGACTTCAAGGTTCATGCCCTTTGTTTTCTGGCCCATAATTTGGTAACCTGCTGACTGAGATAAGAGCTGTACATCCCTATATTGGTGATCAGAGGTAAAAAAAAATAATGACCATTTCATATTTCATGATTGAGCATATCAACATGATCCACTAATAAGGGAAACATGATCCCAGCACTAAGCAGGGCTCTTTGATCGGCTTCTCCACTCCCCCATGGCCCACCCTGGGGGAGGGTCTGTGAGCTGCCCAGCCATCCTTCTTAATTAGGAGGGACCCCAGGAGCCTTCAAGTAGCCCCCAAGCTATTCTGAGCAAAATAAACAGGAAACAGAAAAGAGGGAGAGGAGACAGAAATGCTCACTGACTTTAAAAGATTTATACTGACAATATCCCAAGGAGCTTATGAAATGTATTTTTTCCTTTTTTTTTTTTTTTTTTGTTTTCTTTCTTGAGAGAGGAAAGCTGCTGATGAAGAGATAGCTCTCAACTAGAGTTTCATTGACAGTGAAAATACTTTAAGCTCAGGCTTTTATTGATAGTCCGGTTGCACAAAATAAAATTCATATAAACATCATTTCACGTATTAGAACTGGAAAAACAATCCATCTTCCAGTCAACTTTGAAAGAGTCCCGTTATTGAGCTACTGAATTACAAGGGCAGAATTTACATGTGTTCCCACACCCAGGAGGGAGGAACACTGGTGCAGGAGAGCCCAAAGCCCAGCACCTGCAGCGTGATTTTCTCCCTCTGGGAGCTTGAGTTTCCCAGGGTGGGGTGTTTATGCTCATACATGTAATCTTTCTGAGAAGAGGAGAATATCTCCTCCATCTTGCCCACATTCTTTTCCTCAATAGCTCAAACACCTGCTTTCGGTATGACTTTCCACCAACTTGAAGAAATCAGAGTATGGTCTCAGACCAGGGCACAGTTGTTGCTTCCTTATGTGTGACGTGCTGGCTTCATTCTAACACCAGACCATGCCCCAAAGTGTCTGGAGCAAGACTCTGCCCCCAGACATGCTTCCAGGATTCTCATCTACTGTGGATAGACACACATCAATCTGATATTGGATATCCCAGTTGATTCTGGAGTCCATCCCCAACATGGCACCTTTGCTTACAATAGTAACAATTTGAACACATCACATTTGCATTTAGTCACATCCTTGCCTTGTGTAACTGGTACTATAGGATGAGGTCAGGTCAGTATTGATCCCCACTATTCCCCCCCAACACTCCATACCAGACTAGCCTTCTTGAAGCACCATCACCACTCTGATGATGTCACTCACCTGCTCAAAAACCTTTTCCAAACATAAAATTGAATACCTCCAGTGAAGAATGAAATGTCCTGTATGGTCTTGCCTGACACCCACTGCCTTAGCTTTCTTTATGTTCTAGCCTTTTTCTTCAGGTAGTACCCCTCTGCAGCCAAGTGCCACTACACATTTTCTACATTTATGCCTTTGCTCCTCTTCCCTCAAGCCCCACACGGCCGGCTCTGCCAATATTTTTTTTTTCTCTCCCTTTAAGACCTAGATCAAAGGTCATCTTCTTTATGAATCTTCTCAACGGAACCTAATGTGTCCTTCCTGGAGCCTCCCAAAGTGCTTTATACCTGTAGATGTCTTATGACTTTATAACCTCTGCTTTTGATTGTAGTTATTACAGTGATCTCATCACCCTTACTGGACCTGGAGTTCCTTAAAAGCCAGAACTGTGTCTGGTTTATGTCTGTGTCCCCAGGGTAAAGCCAGTGCTTGGATGTTTGTTCAACATTGGAATCCAGTAAATGAAATTTGAGGGCATAAAAGAGTGAACAAGGGAGTCAGTGAACAAATGGATTTGGTCCTGTACCCCACTGCCTGCCTTTTTCTCTTCCTCCCCCTCTGAGTTCCTGAGCTGTACAGCTTGTAACCCTGATCATATTTTAAGATAAGGGATACAGTGGTATAATGAGAAATCTATAAGGGAAAGAGCACTGGTTTGGAATCCAGACACCTGGAGTCTGATCTGGAGTTACTTTTTTTATTTTTTAACTTTTTTTAAGTGTTTATTTTTGAGAGAGACAGAGGTCGAGCAGGGTAGGGCAGAAAGAGAGAGGGAGACACAAAATCTGAAGCAGGCTCCAGGCTCTGAGCTGTCAGCACAGTGCCTGACAAGGGGCTCAAACTCACAAACCATGAGATCATGACCTGAGCAGAAGTCAGACACTTAACCGACTAAGCCACCCAGGTGCCCCTGATTCGGAGTTTCAAATTAAGATGTTGTACAAGTCATTTCCCCATTTTAACCTTTAGTTTGCTTCTCTAGGAAAGTTAGAGCATCATATTAGATGATCTTTAGATCCTTTCTGGTTCTATTTGATTCTATTCCCTTTCTTCTACCTCTGTACCCATGACGAGAATACCTCTCCCATTTCAAAACAGAGTAATAATATAGATTATTTACTGAGGGTTATAGAGCACTTTTCACTGGCCCATCTTCCGTGCTGAAATTTCCCAACAATTACAAAGGGTTCAGTTTCCAGCACTGACACCAGGTCCCCAGTCCAGCTCAGAAACAGTCTTGCACTGACCTCATTCTAATGTTAACTGGAAGTCACATTTATCAATTTCCAGAATATTGCAAATCTCCAGTTCCTGACACAGTACCTTCTCCTTAAAGAATGCTTCTGGTAGGAATCCCTTCTTTCATCTGGATCATTCTCTACTGCTGACTACTAGTTCATTTACCTACTTGGTAAATTGGGTTGTCTGTAGAAGGAGACCAGCTTGACATGCTCGGGAGTGGTTTAAGAAGGCTGAGCACTCATTAGCTGGTTTCCACTGGAGGAGTCGAAGATCTTGGAATAGGCTTCCACTGCAAAAGAAGCAGCATCAAATGGTCCAAAACTTCAGTGCAGAAGTGTGACAAGTGAAATTAATGCATCAGAAAGAATGTCTGGAACAATAAAATGGTGCTGTGCTTTTATGCTGACAGTAATCCCCATGAATACAGGTTTCTTGTAGATCACTTGGCCTGTGCTACTGGAATTAGGGTTGGCTTGCCCCAGAGGCATACTCTGCCATAGACACGGCACCAGAGGGGATTTGTAGGGCTTTCCTTTTAGAGACCAGTTACAAATCCACATGACACATAGACTCAAGAGCTGAAATGGATCTTAAGAAATTATTGAGTTCAGTCAACCCTCCTCATCCTGCTTTATAAATGAGGAAACTGAAATCTGAGAAATTTAATGCTTTGCCCAAGATCACTCAGCTAGTAATGAAAGGAGCATGAGCCGTGAACTTGACGACTACATAATAAGTAATCCAAATGCTGCCTCTCCAAGCCACCCACCTCTCAAGGAAAACCTTGAACTGGTCAGCACTATTTGAGATTGTAGAACCAATCCATACATTTCTGAGAAACTCTGCATTGGCCAGAAATTGAGAGCTAAGTTGGCTTCAATATGATATGGAGAACTTAACTTTTATTTAAACTGTGACTTATAGGGTGGCCTGAGCTACCCCAGAGTGTGCTTTGGTTTGTGGGGTTTGGAAACACCCTACATGGATGTTTACAAGATGGTACGGATGTCCTGGCTCCGTTCTTGGCACATTTATGGAAGCAGTAACTGCTTAGGCCATCCCTCTAGATCAGGCTGTAAATCCATCAGATCATCTTAGCCCCTGAGCTGGGTTTCTCATGCTGGTCTATGAGGATTAGGTAATACCCCCTATTTTTCTCCAGTTGCCTATGAGACTTTGTTAGTTGTGCCTGCTGGCTGGCAGAGGAACTGTAAGTTATCATCTCCATTTTAACTTAGAAGACAGTTGAACTCAAGAAATTGATGATTTAATAGGTTCCTTCCTCTCCACCCAAAACTGGGTAAAATACTCTCTATGCTTATCTCACATAATTCTTACCCTTTGATATAGGTGTTTTCATTGCCATTTTACAGATAAAGAATGTAGGACTCCAGATCATAGAGCTAGTAAGTCAGGAAACTAAAGTGAAAGCCTTAGTAGGTCCAGAATTACCATTCTCTTGATTCAGCCTTTGCTTTTCACAAAGATGATCTAAGAAAAGGGAAATAGGGTTGGGCGTATGTGAGGAGGTGAGAAAGGCCTCCACCATTGCTGACTTTGGTCTCTATATCCTGCCACGGAGATGCTGCTGGTGCTCCCATCAGTAGACACCTGCAGAGTCACCTTGTCTGTCTCTTGCCAGGCTCCTTCCTCCTCCTCAACACCTCAGCAAACTCCAAGCACACCATCCTGAGCCCGTGGATGAGGAGCAGCAGCGAGCACTGCAGGCTGGCTGTCTCGGTGCACAGGCATCTGCAGCCTTCTGGGAGGTATGTCGCCCAGCTGCTGCCCCACAATGAGGCTGGAAGAGAGATCCTCCTGGTACCCACTCCAGGAAAGCATGGGTAAGTCCCTCCCCGTGTTCAAAACTAATGATATAAAAGGCCATTTAGCGTTTGGCTGCAAATTTCCAGAGTCTGTGACATCTACTTAAAACTCACAGTCATCCTTTAATGGGTAGGGTCCAGATTGAGCCATTACTGCTAATATTCCCAAGGTAGTGTCTCGGGCACTGATCTGTGGGGCTCTCTGGCTGGCCAGGCTGGTGGTCCTTCCAGAGGCCAGAAGACCAGCTGGAAAAGTGGGCATTTAATGAGTGGGTGTTAAATATATTTATTTCCCAAAGTACAGATGGAGCCAAGAAGAAAACAGCCAAGGGTAGTGTTAAAAGGCCAAAATGAAAGTAATTTAATATGCTGGAAATGGGGTTTTACCAGCAGTACTTGGGCAGGTGGAGAAAGAGCAAACCATTGTAGCCACCTAAGTAGGTCCTGCAGGAGTGTGGGACCCCTGAGCAGAATTGGTCAGGGATGCCACAGTGGTATCACTTCAGTAGAGATTGAAACAAGCTTTGTTCCAGAACCTCTAAGGCTTACATAATACTGAAATCACACCAGATACCCATGTCAGTGAGCTCCTCAAGCTTCCAGAATACACTCACTTGCTTACTCAGTGATCCACTGGGCCTCTAGAAGTAGTGACATTGGAAAGCAAATTTGAACCAGGGTATCTCTGTGCATACCCTTTTTTTTCTTATTCCATAAGAATAAATCCCATTATAAAATCGCACTTTTGGGGGTCCCCAGATATGATTAGTGTATAATCAACAAGGGTGAAAGATCTTTTTTTGTGACATGTTTACAGAAGAAAGACCTCAGATTTCTATCTAAGCTGAGACTTAGCTTCATTCTAAGAAAATATCTTTCAGAGGAGTTTCATCTGAACAGTGGTGTTACCCATGGTTTGCTGGGTCAGGAGGGGATAGCCTGTCTACTGCTTTTCCAAAAAGCTCTGTGGTCTCCTATTAGTAATTTCTTGAAAGTCTCCACCCTAGTCTGCTACAACCAACTCATCTGTATTTAATTGTGCTTCAAAATACTACAAGCTGCTCCAGTCCCAGCAGGAATGAAATCTTAACTTCAAGAAGGATGCTGTCCCCATACCTAAATTCATATCCATCTTCTTGCCTCTGAAATACCTTCTTGGGCTGGATGAAAAGGTCCCAGCTCCAAGTCCCTCTTCCTCTGTTCACCAGAAATTAGGAATGTTGGGTGTCTGGGCTGCCCACTGTTTTTTTTTTTTTTTTTAATTTTTTTTAATGTTTTATTTATTTCTAGGAGAGAGAGAGAGAGAGAGACAGCATGAGCAGGGGAGGGTCAGAGAGAGAGGGAGTCACAGACCGAAACAGGCTCCAGGCTCTGAGCTGGCAGTCAGCACAGAGCCCGACGCGGGGCTCAAACCCACGAACCGCGAGATCATGACCTAAGCGAAAGTCGGACGCTCAACTGACTGAGCCACCCAGGCGCCCCTGGGCTGCCCACTGTTTTAGATGAACTGTCCTCTGGGCCAAATTTCCCTCCAGCACTGCCTTCCTTTCTTGGGAGAAGCGCAGATGGTAAGGCTTCCCATCCATCAGCAGGGCGGGTGCTGGCCTCTGCTGCCGTGCCATTCTGTAGGCACCTGCCCAACCTTATGAGTTGTTTATTCTGACATCTGCACTCCACGCCAACCCTGCCAGAGACCAGACAGCGCTGCCCGAGGCTGCTGAGAATTCAGACCATCAATCTGTTACAGTGTGGGTGGGGTGGGACTCATTGATGTCATAGGGGAAGTGGAGTTCAGAGTCTCTCTGAAGTGCAGGCTGAGAATGTGCACGCATGTGAAGGAAGAGTGCCAGAGGGATTTCAATGCTTCCTGAGTAGCAGAGCTTAGTCCCCTGGATAGCATGTTTGGAAGACCACAGCTCCTCCCTACGGCTAGCCGAGGGTCTTGCAAAGATGTTTCCCCTCATTATCTTCCTATGCGTGCGACTACCTGGTGAGTTCCCACTTAACAGATGAGAAAACTGAGGCAGAGAGAGGAAATAGGAAGTGATGTGGCCCAAAGTGGACTCCAGATTTCCCCTTCTCTCATTAGTGTACTTTCCAGGAAACCCATAGCCTCTCAGCAGAGGCAAAGGGTGGGGTCGTGGGGTCAGGAAAATGGAAATGGAAGGTGAAGGATCCTTGCAAAAAGAGATCATCTAGATTCTTTGGTGTCTCAAGACAGTTGAGCACAGGGGGCGTATGATGGCAACCTTCCTTTCACAGACAGTGAGAATAGGGACAGGAAGACAGCGCAGTGATTCTCCTTAGTCTCAAGGCCCCTCCTGCGAGCCATTGCATTTTTCCCCAGAGCAACTCTCCCACTGCAGGAGTCGGCCTGCCTCCTGGAGAGTGGGAGGTAGGCAGGAAAAGGAAGCAAGTGTGCTGGGGCAAGCCCGCTGACTTGAGGGCTTGCCTGGGGCTGCCCTACATCTACAGTGGCTTTGTCTTAGGCTGGGCTCCAGGCATCTCTGTGTAGAGATGTTCTCCCTGAGCCCTGACAGAGCCATCTTGGAGTTTGGGGATGAGCAGGAGTGATTCCAAATGGAAACTAAAGATGCCTGAGCCAGCCTCCCCACCCCTAACAAAATCGATGTGGTGCGGGTAGAAAGTGGCAGCTGAAGGGGCAGGCCACAGACTGCCCTACTGCTTGGAGGAGCTGTGCTGCCCCAGGCAGCTTGGCAAGCTGCAGGGCATGGGCATTTGTCCAGTGCTTCACAGAGCTCTAGGTATTTGTGTAGAGTTGGATCCGGCTTGCTCAGCCTCAGCTCTTTTGATATCCAGGACCAGATCATTCTTTCTCTGGTCACTGTCCTGTGCGTGGCTCCCCAGCTTCCCAGGCCTCTGCCCACTGGATGCCAGTAGCATCTCTCCTTGTCGTGGCAATAAAAATGTCTCCAGACATTGCCTTATGTCCCCGTGGGGGGTGGGGGTGGGGGGCAAAATTGTCCCCATTGAGAACTACTGAAATAGCTAGAAAATATTACAGCTGGGAGGAACCCTGAGATTTACCTCGAGTTTCAACCTCGTCAATTCTCAGGAGTGGGGACTGAGGCCCAGAATGGGGAAGGGACTCTCTCCATGTCATATGATGAATGCCACTGTTGGTAGACAAGTGTCTTGAGCCCTATGCTCAGGTCTATATGCCAACCACTGTACTAAATCCTCAGTTACATAGATATGTAAGGCCCAGTCTCTACCCTTGAGTAATAATAACTACTGCCAACACTTATTAACACTTTCCAGATGTGCTAGCCAGTCAATGCTGTGCACTTTACATGCATTTTCTTATTTAATACTCAACAAAACAGTGAAGCAGTTACTGTTACTCTCTTCCATTTCACAGATGAGGAAATTCAGTGAGATCAATCTTCCCAAGGTCACTGGCTATACAGGGTACAGGAGTTCTGAACCTAAGAAGCCTGACTTCAGACTATCTTTGCCCATTGCTGGAAGAGCTCAAGGCCATGGTACTACAGAAAAAAAAAAAAAAATCAGTATTCTATGAATCAAAGCCATCAGTTTAGGCCCTCCCCAGTTTGAAGAACCGTTACTCATTGGGTACTTTCTATTTGTTAGGACCATACAGGTGCTAGAGATACAAAAGACTAGGCTTTGATGGTCTATGAAAGGATTTTCCATGAATGAGCTCTGTGACTTCAAGGTGAATCCCACCCGTACAAAACTTCAGTTTCCCCATCTGTGACGTGAGGATGATGATGCCAGCCCCGCTCATGTGGTGCTGTGGAGTTAAAGTAATAAAAGACATAAAGGGTTTTTCACACTAAGCAGGATATAAATGTAAGAGGCCATTATTTAATACCCTAATCTGCTCTGTACTGCTCAGAATTGGGGATCACAAAGGACTAAGACTCATCTGCTCTCTGATTGCGGGGTTAGTGGCAATATCAAGGATCCTTTGTTTTGAGATCCTTGGCACTTTTCTTCACTGAAGTTCACTCCCTTTGATGTCAGAGATGACCCAGCAACATGATGCTCTGAGTGGTGAGGGGGACACAGTGAAATCCTGTGGTAATGACAGTGATAATTACAGATGGGGCTGGCTTCCTCTCAGGACAGGCCTTAGGTGGTTTGGAGACAGCTATTTGCAAAACAACACTCAACATTTGTAGTAACAAGGGAGGAAAGTGTCCTAACACAGTCCACTGGGGAGAGCTTGACTCATAGGAGTGGGCTGAGGAGGGACAAGCCTGAGGCCACAGAGTCCCTCAGACACCAGGTCATGAGCACGAAGGGCGGCACTGGGGGAGCAGCGGCCTGCCTAGAAACACCGGAGGCAAGGGCAGGCAGTCGGGGAGCCCCAGCAGCCGCTCCCTTCCTTGCCTCCTGGAAAGCAGCCACCTACATGAAGTCTAGCGAATCATGGAGCATGAGCGCCCACCTCTGCCAAGGCCTGGCTTTGGCCCGGGTCTCCCAGGGGACACACAGTGACGAGTGCCCGGCCTGCTCATCTGGTTGTCTGCCCTGCCAGAATGACCACAGGAGCACGGAAGCAGAGAGATGCTCTGTCAAACAGCCCAGCCCTGCTGGCCACAGGATCCAGCAGGCATAGGACATCTTAACTAGAAGTCAGAGGTTACAAAGTCCCCATGAATTGAATGAATATGATAATCCCTATTTAGAATGGTGAGCTGTGAAGTGGCATAAGGAAAATGGTGCACGCTGTGCCAACTGTATTAGGTACTTAACACATGCTAGACGCTTCCCAGGGCATCCATCCCTCTAACCGCCATGGATGGAGTGCCCCCAGTGAGGTAGGTGTTGGGGATATGCAGTTGAAGATGACACGGGCAGCCTTCAAGCAGCATCCAGTCCAGTAAGGAAGACTCAGCACGTGCTTGTGCAGATGGCTTTAAATGGGGGCCCAGACATATTAAGGGGCATCAGTTGGCAGTGTGAAATCCGTGCCCTCTTGGACTCAGGACCCCAAGCTCAGGGAGTAGGGGTATTTGGGGCTGTAG